CTTCTGTTTAACACTAGTAAATTTGTAACTAACTAAAACTGACATTAAGAGCTTTGAAAAGATAAATTCAGAGCACCTGAAAGTATAATGCATAATACTGCAAGAGAAGAGAGAAAAATGACAGATGAGATGACTGTGAGGATATACAATCAATCATGTTTGGATACCTTCGCAGCAGGAGCTTTCCGCTTCACTGCCGTCTTCCTTTGATCCTCACTTCCAGAGTCAGAGCCATCACTTCCGGTTTCAGCTTTCCTCGGCACCACTGCTTCCTTGTCTTCTTCCGCATCACTGCCCGGCGCAGGTTGGTTGTCCTCGCTGTCCGATGATGATGCAGGCTAAACAAATACAGGGCAGACGTAACAAATCAGCATTTGCTGTCATGAAACAACAGATGATTACAGACAGAGAAATGAAGTCTTACTGCAGGTGTGCTATAGGAGGCATGAGGGTTGTTTTGGATTTCCCACAAGCCTTCATTGAACCCTTTCCTTTTGTTGGGCTTCCCATATTGGTCTTGGTACTTTTCATATGCAAAAAGGTCCTTGGGTGCAAGGAATGCTCTGAAAGGAAAGTTAAAATCAGTATTATAAAGTTGGGATGAAACAGAAGTAGCAACAGCTCTGTTCTTCTGTATTGTGACCTACATACGAGTACAACAGATAATCAAAAAGTGTAGGGTGTAAATTTGGTTCTATGCATTGTTGTTGATTGGATTTTAAAATGTGAACACTACACTCGTTTTATGGCATTTTAATTAAACATCATGAGGTTAAAACTCATTTTTACCAAATGAAACTGTACGGATGAAGTGTTTATGATAAGATCGGCAACATGTATTTAGACAATACATTGATTGGGTGGTTTTTCAATCCATGCCGACTTTAATATATGAAGGTGTCTACAAAGTTCTCAGATTGAAAAAGGGAAAACAAATTTGGTCTAAAAAGGTTCCTCTAGTGCCACCTGTTACTCCATAACAGTTCAGACAAGCAAGGCCCCACCATACTTTTAAAAACACTGAGAAAACTGTAAGGTAATGCACACAGCTCATAACAAATCATATGCATCCGTTTATCAACAGTAATAACCTGGTGCTCATTCAAATTCAGGAATACGTACGTTTCATGAGTCCCAAAGAAAAAAATGGGGATTTTATTAGGCGGAGGTTTGACAGCCCCTTCTGCAACATCTTCAATCTGGAGGAGACATATTCAAATAGGGTTATCACACGTTCTTCACACCTTCAGTAGTGGAAATTTGAAGGTTTATAGAATTAAGTACAAATTAATAAATGAGTTTTCGACTTTGCACCGAGTAAGTCACGTGCAATAAAGTATCTCCATGTGCAAACATAACAACTCACCCCCCCCCCATTGCATTTGACATGTTATTCGACAAAAGGAATATAAAAGGCCCA